CTTAAAGAGACAGAGGCCAATTTCAAGGCGTTTAGAAGAGGAAGTGATGAGAAAATAAGTTTATTTTCTATTTTAACAGCTAAAGGTGACATAGATATTTTATTATGGTATAGTATTTAAATGTTTGCCTGAGAATCACATAATATTGCCCCTTTAAAGTAGTTTTTTTAGGTGAAGGTTTTTTTTTAAATGTAGTTACATATTGTCTGACTTTTATTTTGTGGAATAAAGATACTGTCGGCATTGCTGTTTTTTTATTGAGTTAAATCCATAAGGAAAAAAAAATCAACATATTTACTCACACCTAGGCATAAAGTGTGCAGTATAAGTTCATTTATAAGAAAATCATTTTGGTTTTACAGCATTTATAAGCAATGGTTGCTGTAGCATTATTTACAGACTAAATATCAGACTTTTTTGTCAATAGTTAGCTGTAGCATAGAATGAACGTTAAACAGCAGCTTCAGTAATCCACTTTTAAAAGACATTAGTGCCCACAGAGCGGGGACAAAAGTTACAGTGGAAAATCACCTAAAACCGAGCAGAGAGAAGTACCAAGCTGAACAAGATGGCTGCAAATGAGAGCTGCAGGATTTGTCAGACAAATTAAATTAAATTTGGAAGCCTTGTAAACACGGACTGGCTTCATTTACTTCCTCCGCTGCCATGGTAAAAAAAAAATCTACAGACAGACACTGCGCAGAAAATCGTCGTCGTCGTTCAGAACTCCGCCTTCTGTTCTCTGATTGGCCAGGACGAAATGCTCCGGAAGAGAAATCCCAGACTGAGCAGTGAGGGGGAAACTAGAATTGAGTGAAATTGCGTAGGAAGGCAAGGGCCAGGCTAACGAAGCCCTGGTCAAAGAAGAAATTCTGCCACCATTTGGGACAGATAATAAAATCCTCTTCTGTTCTATTCTATTCTATCAAAAGCAATAATACAATTTTGGGGCCCTGGGCTACAGCACTGTTAAGCCTATGGAAAGACAGGCCTGGAATAAATATCTGACCAAGGAGGACAACAGAGTTCAGTATTCAAACACATGCTGCTTTTGCAAAACTTCTTGCAATGTATTTTTTTTACCAGTCTTCATGAATTTGTGATTGGTACCTATAAAAATGAGCATAATTCTCCCTAAAGTACAAAACAAAATGCACTGATTCCACACAGACATAAAATGGCTGCAGAGAGGCAGCTACAGGTATGAGAGCAGTTATTTATGGCCACGCAATATTTTTCAAAATTACTTTCAAGCCTTTTCATCT